TTAAGGAGCTATCATTCCATTGGGAATTCTTACAGATTTTGGTTAAGAAAGTGCTTTTTTTATTACCTTTATCTTGTTCGGGTCTTACTGGAAACCCATGTTAAGTCTACCTGCATGCATTTTTCTGCATAGAGGCTGCTGTTTCCTTTTCTCCAAGTACATATTTTTGGGAGGCCAAAAGTTGAGATTTTTAAGGGTGATGAAGAATATAGAAATGTCAACAAGTTGATTGCTTTTCAGTTTAAACAAAATATATCCTTTCCAAAACTTCCCAGTAGCTTTCGTGCAGGCTAAAGTTCTGGCTACATATTCATTGTTTAATTCTTAATTGCTTGAAATTATTTGTTTGACTCTAGACGGTGGATTTTACAATCTATCATTTATTACATTTAAAGAGCAGGTCTGGAACATCATGACTGTTCTTCTTGTCTATAAGATTGTAAGTTTTTGTTGTTAATTGATACTCATCTAAATCTTTTGACTTACAAGTATAAGAAGAACTTCATTGTTTTTGTAGAGTTACTGTTTTTACCTACTAGCTCTTTTTAAACTTTTTTTTTGTGGGTGGAGGAAGGCAAATATTGAGTGACAAAAAAAAAATCATTTTTTAGGTAGGAAACTGCAAACTAAATACTGACATGTTTGAATGTGATTAAAATGATGCTTTTATATCCAAAGAAAGAGTGCATTAGTATCTCAAGATAGTTTCCATCTATGCTCTTAGCTCTCCTAAGGCCAGTCCTGGAGTCCACATATCTTCCCTCTCTGGAAACTACACGGACACAAGTGATGGGTAAATAGTGATTCCATCGTCATCATTTCTGTCATTTTGTCAATACTTTCATATGAAGAGCATTTAGGTTTGGGTCAAAGCCTTTTAATTTTTTTGCTGTTGGTGATGATGCATAAATCGATGAGTGATGTGGTAAGTCTTTTATAAAAGACTACACCGAAATAGTGTAACCAGACATCTCAAACCCCTGATTTACTGCTCTGTAATCCTAGTTCACTGACAGTATTTTAATTCTGCACTAACTCAGCTGATCTACAGTGTTTTAAAGAAATGGGATAATAATGAGTGCAAATATTTTTGTTTAAAAACTGAATGAAATATGGGCTTCATTTATTTAAAGCTCTATACTGGCCATGTTTTTAACAATGACTGTCCATCTCTAGTGTCTGAAGGCAGTTTTCTGGTTTCATCTTAGCTACTCGGAGACCAAAATTGAAATCTCCTTCAGCCTACCTGACAACCCAAGGAACAGTGGAGGGTAAATAAATACAATCTTCTCTTTTTTCCTTCTACTTTTACATCACTTGACATCATTTTCACCTGCTTTGAACAATACCTAGGTTTTTTAATGCGCCTTGTCTTGCAGAACCACTTGCCTAACTAGTTAGATGATTCTGTCATTTGAAGATTTTTTCTATCACTTGAAAATCATCTTCTGTAGGGATCGAGTAACAGCTTGCGAAAAGAAGGGTGTTTGTTTTGAAAACAGGTATTTCTTTTACCTCACATCCCGTGCTGGTAGACCCAGGCAAGTCTTTTGCTGCCTTTCACATTGCTTTTCAGTTTACTTCCTTTCCTTTCAGTTTTCTTTCTTTCTTCTCAGCCACATTTTCTGACATATTTGAGTATCTTTCCGTAAGTCCTTTAAAAATCTTTTTCATTATTTGCATCAGACACATGCACACATTAAAAAATAAATTTCATGTACATTTGAAATTCATGTCTGAAGACACCAATTCCTTACTAATGGGTTTAAATTTACTCATTTTTCAGGTTCAGATGATGTTATAATTATCTTTGTAACTTTTAAATAACATATCACCATTTTTTTTTGTATTCCAGCTTCACAGGACTCTCTTCATATTACTTCCCCTTCGCAAATATCTGCATCTGCAGAAATGCCAAAAATAAAGACTGGTAAATTGTATTTGTCTTATATCAGCAGCTAAGTATTTCTTTTTGCATCAAAGGCCTTATATTTACAGGGTATTTGACTGCTTGATGTTGCTCAAAATGCTAATTTGTCTTCAATGTTTAGCAGTAGAGCTCAATAGCTGTATTGTAATAGACTGGCTGTGTCATAAGGTTCGATAGGAAAACTGCAGGAATATAGATCGTTTTGGGTGGTTTTAATATACCAGATAGAAGAGACAGCTACCTAGATGAAGTTAATTGTCAGCTATGACCATACATTTTGGTTGGAACATTTGCCACTGGTTTTTTGTTGTTGTTGTTGTTAGTCGTGTTATATGGCTTCCTCTGTTACTAAGCTTTTGTGTGTGTGTGTGATGGAGCTATGCTGTTATTTCCCCTTGGAACTCTTCTTATAAGAATTTTATATTTTTTATGAAGACAAATCTGTGAATGTGAAGAAAAAATATCCTAAGCTCCACAGCAAATATTTGAACATTATTTTTATAAACTTCCTCTCTTACCTTCTCACATTTCAGAGTCTCCTGAAAGATAATTTTTGTTGTTTCAAGAATAGAAAGTGTCAGTTGTATTAATTTAGTTTGAACAACAAATTACAGAATGTGTACTGAATTAAAAGCCGTAATGTGTTCTACTTCTGGTAAACTGAAACACATCGAGTCTTCCGGATAGAAATTGCTGGTTGTAAAATTTCACATTTGTATGTATTTTAGGCATGCTATTTTAGGTATATTATATATATATATATATGAAGTATTTAGGTTTATCTAGGTCTCAGATGCAGTTTACAGCAAAAGGTTTTTTGCCGTTACATGCACACAAAGCAATTGACTTTTGTCGCTAAATCGACATTTAAGGAAGTTGCAGTTTCTCTTTGGGATGTGTATTAAGAGTAAAGTGACTGCTTCAAAGTGTCATTTTTTGTTGGTTTCTTTTGGTTGGAAGTCCACTGAAACTGTTTTAACAGTACTTAAGTGCTGCCGGGATCTTAAGGAGCTGTGGCAGTAGCACTGCTTTTTCTGATTTATTTATATCTCATCGCCAATAAGAAGCTGCCTTTAAGGTTATCTACATTTTCAGCAGTTGCCAGTTCAGCTGGCCCAGAAACATATATGCCTCTGCTTTGCAGAACATCTCGTATGTTAAGGATTATTGTGGGTAATTGTGATGCGTTAGTGTTTCAGTTAAAACACCTCTGATTTTTTTGTTTTGTTTTGTTTGTTTTGTTTTTTTGTTTAATAGCAATTTGGGGAAAATAATCATCTTGTTCATCCCAGATGTTTTCGTCATCTGCCATGCTTTTCTTCCTCTTGAGTCATGTTCAGCAGTATAGACAGACAGATAATTCTCCCCATTGCCCCTCTTTTTCTTGTTTGCATGAGTAAAGCCATCTTGTGCTTAATACTCATCTAGGACTATTTTTCATTTATTTCCTCGAAGAGGGGCTATTAAGGCAATTTTGAGTCGTACTTAAAAGAAGCAAGTCTGGTGAATGATGTTTAAAGCTTAATAATAATCTTAAAATTATTTCTAATGCTAATAAAGCATCTTTAGACTTTATTATATGTTCTTGGATGCATAGATACATACACATGCATATGTACTCCTCTACAATTACATTAGCTTCTTTCTTATAGTTAAATGATGTTTTTTACCTTTGTTTTGCACACAGATTATACACCATTAAAACTAACAAAATCTTGAAAGAAAAAGCAATGAATACAACTTGACTGTCTTTTTTTCAAAAATATATTTGCACTATTTTTTAGTTATGTAGTTTATATTATTTTCCATTGCTCCTTTGAGTGCTTTTCATCTGTAATTGTGTCAGAACTTCTGTATCTTTTTTGTGTTTTCTGTGTTGTGTGAAGCATGTTGTCTGAAGCAATATGAGCTTTGCTTGGCTATCCAATTATTTTTAGTTATTATTTTAACCACTAGCTTTAGCTCCTGTGTTAAAACCAGTACTGTTATCGTGTGTGGACCACTGTATTGCAGATTAGGTGCATTATAACAATGCAAAACTATATCTAGAAATAATAAATGTAAATACTGTGACCTGTTTTTTTATAGCTTTTGATGATATTCATCCTGTTCTACCAAGCCCTGAGACACCTAGTAGGCCTGAAATAGGAGATCTTGGACCAGGTACAATAATTAAAATCTAGCTGTTATTATTCAGTAGCTCAGACTCTTTTCCAAGATTCAGTGAAATGACTGCTCTCAAAATCTTCAGTTTCAGTGTGCATTGGACCCTAACACTTGATTTTGGAAATTAGATTGCTATTAATGATTGACATTAGTGCCTTAAAACACTTTCAATGCATATGGCAACTCAGCCATCTGTTTTTTCCATTGACATTTTGAAAATATGCTACATAGATAACTGTGAGAAAACAAGACTTTGTGTCTAGAAGTGCTAGTCAAAGTACTCCAATGAATACTTCAGACTGCATTCAACTTTTGTAGTTTCGTTTAAAGTATTAAGGAAGGAAGAGATGTATCCTTAAGTGCATTAAATTGTTAACATTTACAGATACCTGATTTTTTCGGATTGAAACTGTGGTTGGATCAGGTTTCAGCTTGTAGTCCAAGCATTGTGTTGTTTTTAATATCTGACTGGTTATTTGCATTGTTTTTAATATCTGACTGGTTATTCAACATTTCCTTTTCGTTATATTGCTACATGTTACGCCCCACCATCTTTCTTACTAAATGGACTAAAACTGAATGTAATGAAGGCAACTTAGAATCTGTTATCTGGCCAAGTATCATTCAGGTCCAAACTAGATAGAATGATGGCAGGAAGAAAGTGCACGAGCATCCAGAATGTCCGCTTATCACAAGTACCATGACTTTTAGTCACTAAAACTCGGTGCATTTCAAAAAAAAAATGAATTCATCTCTAACATGTGAACTGATAAACTGAAAAGAGACCAAGAATTAGTGAAATAGTTCTGTTTTTCCTGTACAAACTAATTTGTTTTTGCTTATGAAGCAACATTTTCTTCCATTAGCTCTTATGTCTTATGACTGTAACCATTTCTTCCAACAGTAACAAGTGAATCCATTCTGGAATCTTTCACACCTAAAAGTTCTCGTCCTTTTCAGTGGCCAAGGGCAACATTAGGTAATGTCATTCTTGCACAGTCAAAAGCTCCGTGTTTGTTTTGAGCACTTCATCCCTCACGAATGCGTTTCTTCCAGCAGATCATTTCACATGTATTCATTCACATGCTCTTTTTCCCAGTTATGGATTCTTTGTTTTCCATTGTCATAAGACACTCATACTTCTTGATATGTCCATGTCTGGGAACCTAATTCAGGATGATTTTACTGTCCTCGGAGCAGTAAAACTTACTTCTCCATAACTTGCATGAGAAACTCCATCCTTTTATCAGCGCTTACTCTCTCATGCACACACATGCACTCTCTCTTGCTCACTTGCTTTTTAGAAGTCTCTTAGTGGAAATTCTAGTTCTTTGGGGGCCATTAAGTGTTTTTTTTTTTTTCCACCAATCAATGCACAGCAATTAAGCATCATCTCCACCCCTCACCTCAAATTCTGATCTTCTCAGATGGCTTTCTCATCCCATATCACATTATCTCTTCTTCAGTATACACTTGTGGCATGTGTTTTTTGGTGTGGGAAAGACTTCTTAAATAATTTCTGATTGCGACTGAGCTCTTTTTTCAGTTCCAAAAGAAACACCACTTGCTCCTTCTAAACTGAAACCATCTGTTACCCCAGAAGTACGACACGTGAAACCTGGTAATTGTGCACATCATTTTTTTAGAAGTCAGTATACTGAAACAGATGTTCACTAAAAATAACTCATAAAAGTTTCCTGAAATGGATAGGAGCTATGGAAGACGTGAGCATCTTGACCAACTTACGTTATAATTCTAAGATGAGTCATTTGATGTTGTGCAAAGAGCTGTAGTCTTTAAGCTCATCAGATTTATGCACATGGGCCTGCTGGTAGAATACAAACAAGCTGCCCCGTTTCATAGCCTAATTGAAAGGAGGGGCAGGGAAAATACTTCAGGGCAACAGAGTGTGTGTTTGATTGTTTGTTTGTTGTTTGTTTGTTTGTTGGTGTGACTTGAATAAACAATATATATGAATAATTTTGATAACCTCTTTTGCTGGTCCCCATTTCCCACTTCGATACAGATATAATATAGTAAGCAAGAGATATTTGGTAGTTACAGCACTTTGTTGATTCAGATTGCAATATTAGCTGCATGTTTGTTGAGGAGGAGAAGCTTCAAAAATGTGCCTATACTTGTCACAGATTTATTCATTGATTGGGGGAAGACTGTCATCAAGTGTGGGTTTTTTTTCTGTTATTTGTTCAAAAACAGATCCCTGTAGTAATTTTCTTCTCTTCGATTCGGGGTTAGGAGAGGTGAATTTACCTTCCTTAATGATTCAGGGACTGAACAAGTAGGTTTTATGGTGTGGGTTTCTAGAACCTCAGAATGTCTCTACTCTCATATCTCATATACAGGTTGTTCATTAAGCAGCCTGACTTGTCTTTGATGTCTTATGTATGTCTTATGATTGACTGCAGGCTCTCATTTAAGCTTTTCAGAAAAAAAATGGCATTTAGAAGTTACCTTTTTGGTGTAGATTCTCTGGTATTTGATATGGAGGGTAGTCTTTTCTTCATTCAAAGCACTCATCTGTCCTTTCTTCTTATCCTCCTATAACTTAGAATAAATGCAATAAGTTTGGTGACTGAATCCAACAATAGGTTAAGAAGTTGCAGATGATATAAAAATGGGGAAAGAGCCTCAGAAGCAATTTCCCACACATAGCCATAAATATGCTATGTGTAGTATCATAAAAAGCAAAACTAAAAGTAGGATGTTACACAGAAAAGTAGGACTTAATTTCACGTTTATCTAGCCTCTTTTAAAAGACAAAAAAGAAAGGAAAAAAAAAGTGAACTATTGGAATGATACCACTTTTAGCTTAGTGTTGATACCTCTACTGATCCATTCCATTGTGCTTGATGTTTTTTGGTTTGTTTTCTAGCCCCTAAGCCACCGCTTTTTGAGCATAGCACACCTAAAACATCTCAGACCAGTGAACAACCAAAAGCAACACTAGGTAATGAATGTATCTATAGCTGTCTGTCACTCTTCCTCGTAGTCCAACATGCAGCTAGAACACTGAGATTTTATCACATGGCTTTTTATGTTTGTTCATGTTTGTTGTTTATGTTTGTTGCTGTTTGATTACAAAGAAAAGAAAAAAAAAAAAGTTGGGAAGGCAAAGCACCTCCCAGTATATATTTCTCAAATTAGGAAAAAAAAAATGATTTTTTCTGCATAATGAGTGACTTTACTAGTTTTGGCTCCCATTGGAGGGGAAGTTTTACTACATCAACAATTATACAATCAGAAAATCATCAGACACCCATCATAAAATCTATTGAAAGACTAAGTGCAAGATTAGTATTGCAGACATTAATCTTAAAACTATAGTACTATACTACTATAAAGGATTTCTGTGGCACTAGGTGGATGTTTTTATTCTACTCTTCTATGAATCCTTCACGAGTATCCTTTTGGCTTGAAAAATCCTTCTCAGTCACTTCCTATATCTTATTCTAGCCTGTTCTTTCCATAAATGTCATATGCTTTTCCACTGTGTCTATTGTTAAGAAACTTTTTCCTTAGAAAGTAGTCTCATCCTAATGCTTTATATAAAAAGAACAAAAATTATTTGTTAAACCACCTGACAGTGACATTGTGCATCACCTGATATCAGGTTAACTGTTATATTAACTATAATAGTCATATTACTAGTTTCAGCCCATACAAATGTAAGAAAAAAAAAAAAGAAAAGAAAAGAAAAACACCTTTCTAGAACTGGTAGATGATACTTGTACATCATTTACTCTCTAAAACAGCACTATTTTTATTTTTTTCAATACAAGAAAAGGGAATAGCTGTGAAGCAACTCCTCTTTATACTATTGCTTCCATGCTTTTCTCTCTTCCTGCCAGATAATTTCTTCAGCAAAATGAAAATTACAGACTTTTTTCTGTGAGTTTTGGCTTGCCTTTTTTTTTTTTTTTTTTTTTTTTTGTGATGCATTAAAATTGACATGCAAAAACTCAAAAATTAGATGGAATTATCATTTGCCTCTTAAGTATCTTTTGACAATGGCTTTGCTAGTTTAATGGTATGAACATTTTGCTGTGATGATCAAGTATTAATAGATATTTTAAATCTATTTACTGAATTTTAAAGTGAAGAGCAAACCTTTATTTTTAGCTGGGGTAATAAAGTTTTGTAAAGATTTTGGGAAGCCTTTTCACAGATTTGTTCTCAGTAGCCATTCACTTCAGGCTTGAACTGTGTGATTCTTTCCTGTAAGAAACAATGAGAAGGATAATCTTATAACCCAGTATATTTCTTCTAGCTCCTAAAGAAGCAAAACCTATACCTTCTACTTCCAAACCTACACCATCTGCCAGAACCAAAAAACCACAAATCAAACCTGGTAATTACTGGCTATATTTTATCACTTAAGCAGTTTAATATACATTTGTTTAAATTTGTTCTGCATGAAGCTTAGCACTCTCAGTCCTGAGGAAGATAGGTAATGAGGGGATTGTGCTTTTTGGGGAATATTATTTTTGTACTGAACCAAAAAAGCAAGAAAACTTTAAACCTTAGGTTTTTGCTACTGAATTGCATGAGTTTGGGTTGAAACAAATTGTTTATATCCATTTCATTTAAAAATCACAAGTTTTCTGAACTTAGGTCGGCACAGAGCCTAGAAAAGAAAATTCTCCTGCTTTGTTAATTGGAAATATTATTACCCAGTACCATAGCACTTGTATTGACTCAGTGTTCATTAGGACATATGTAGACTTATCTGAAAACATGGAAATGAGGGTAAAATTCTGGCTGGGAATTTAGTAAAGATATATTTAATGTTTGCAATGAAATTGTATATTTGTACCAATATTGAAGTTGGATGTATGCTGGAAGATAATGCGTGTTAGAGGTTAAAAAGCATCTGGCTTTACCTGTAACTGAAGAATAGTGCCTCAAAGATATTACTAATATCCAAGGGTTTGTAATCAAGTCACAAAACTTAGAAATTCATAACTGTGTATTATAAGAAAAAGCTAATGTATCCTAGAAGAAATCAAACTATTATTAAATTCTTTACAGGTTCCATGCAAAATACTTGCATAGAATCATAGAATCATTACAGTTGGAAAAGGTCTTCAAGACCACCAAGTCCAACTGTAAACCCATTACCCCCTGATGTCTTGCTCATAAAAAGAATTATCCTCTTCAGAGCAAATTATTCCCTCTGAAGCTTGTTAACTAAATGGTGTTTATGTCTTGGAACTACTTAAAATTAATATTTTTGTTTTCTTTTTAAGGTTATCATTATAACTACAGCTCCAAAGACACTTTCTCTGTAGAAATGTAGTGTGATATTAGTAGAAAAATTACTATCTGTAGATACCTATGTCTGATTATAGATCTGGATCCTGCAGGTCTCTCTTAAACAACCGCGAAAGTGACTTGTTTGGGAACTAGTGAATGAAATAGTTTTGCACCCCTGAACTGCCAAAGTCAACAGCGTATATTGTAATGTTTCCACAATGAATAGGCTGTTTTGGGTTTCTACATAACTCCAGAGGAAGGCAATGTGATTCTGAATTTGTACATATACCTCCAGTCTTTCCTTTCTCTGTTAGTGGTTTCGTCGGTCATTCCAGCTGGGATCCTAAGAATCACTTTCTACTCATCATAAAACTTGTAAAGACTTTTCTGTGTAGGCATCTGTGAATTCTGCATTTGTTCTGTTAGGATGGATTTGGATACCCTTACTCAGTAATTCCTTTACAAGGCATAAAATACGCAGTGCATGGGGAGAGCCTGGGTTTTCCTCAGTGATAAAATGATCAAAGGTCAAGATCTCTATTCTATATTCCAGTGTCTTTCCAATGTCAAAGTCCTCTTACACTATGCAGAAACTTTGTTTAGACTTTTGAAGTGTCAGAGGAAATGACTTTATAAAATCTTAAAAAAAATAATCTCCAGGCTCTACCTTTTACCTATAAAAGTCCAAACCAAGTAAAAATGTTGTGTTTTTTAATGATTTTTTTTAAGGATGACCTGAAAAGAAATAATTACTGGAGACTTTCAGAATTTCCTTAGAATTGGGAGGATGTCACTGTTGAATTTTATGATCAAAAACAAGCAAACAGAAAGTCATTTCTGAGTAATTCGGGATTCATCAGAAGTGTACTTCGAGATGAATGTCTGGTCTTGAGTTAGTTCTGGTAGAACGTTTCATGTCGCCAACTTGTAGGTTAGTAGGCTTATTGCTGAATTTCCTCCCTACTGCATTACTACCCAAATGTAGTGTTGAACTGTGTCTGCATGCACTTATGCTGCTTTTGGTACTCAGTGCTGCCCAGTGCAGACAAATAGTCTGCAGTTGATAACTAAGTATTCCAAGGCTGATCCTTGTCATGTTCTTCTATGTCAAGTTTTTCCACAAGTGGCTGTTCAGAGAAAAACAAGATTTTGTACAACATTTTTGTTTTCAAAGTTGATTTTGCGTACTCTCATTATTCACATGTTGACCACATCTAATACCAGTTTTCTACGTTTAGGAGCAAGATCTGATCTCACTGAATAGGTCGGACTGTTTTTTGTTTTGTTTTAACAGAACCACGTTATCACCCTATGTGAGATATTCTTTGTCATGGCTTTTAAAGGGGATTATTGTTGCAAGAGATGTACCAACCCAATAAATACAAATATAGACAACTATTTCTCAGAGGACATAGACAAAAATAATAATTCTTCTCTGTTGGATTTTTTTTAAAACTTTTCAGTTCCCAGTAAAACTTCTCCTTCCAAACCTAAGTTGTTTCTGCACTCAGAAGAGCCTATGACAATACAGGGTAATTACTGTGTTTTTTCACTTATTTTTCCTGAAAATGATATGTCTTACACTCTTTTGCTTTCTTAGAGAAGCGCCAATAGCATTAAATAAATAGATTAATCATTAACTATAAAAAAGTGACAATAAAAAAATCAGGAAGGTATTGAAATTCTGAGTAAAATATGTCAGTTTTCTATTCATTCTATTAAACTTCTTAAAATTAAACACAACCCCCCTCTTCCATCATAAACCTTCATGAAAGAAAATAGAGATTTTATATTAATGATTTAATTTTGTATCTAAACCCGTGTTGTAGAAGTTTTAGCTCCCAAATCTTATTGTATTTACAAGTTGTAGATACCTCAACATGTGTAAATGAGTCTTGACATTTTTGTGAATTTCGATATTGCAAATTATCAGTACTGTACGTGTTTAAGACATGAATGCCACATGCATCAATCGTTTTTCTTTCCTAATTAAAACTTGTATCTTGGTGAAGAGAGAGCATCAGGAGTCATAGGTAATAAGACAATAAAACTGAGAATAGTAGAATCGTAGAATCGTTATGTTTGGCAAAAACCTTTGAGATCATCAAGTCCAACCGTAAGAAGTTGGTCTTCTTAGAGAAGAGTCAAAACAGAGAGTCAGCAAACAATGTAAAGTATGAAAGCCTCAATAAATGCACTGCTTCCTTACTGATTGTACATATATTTTGGATTCAAAATGGATTGCACTTTAAAGTCATGTTAATACTAACTAATTATATGAACTTTGCTGTTCAAGCTCTCTCTATCTTTTCATTGCCTTTGGAGACATTTCCCTTCATACCTAATTTATTTCTCTTAATGGGAGTGGGAAGTTTTCTAATGTTAGCATCCTGTAGCTCTAGATAACCTACCAAGATTGTGCTAGGCTGCTTTTTTCTTGTTTTTTTTTAAAATTATTTAAACTTAACATCTTTTAGATCTTACCCTTGTATCACTCTGGATGAAACTTATTTAACAAATATAGAAAGTTTATAGATAACAGAAAGAATACCAAAGGAAAATGATTTCTATGGGACAGTCTCTTTAGCTGTCTACAACCTTAAGGAGGAAAAAAGATAGGGTCAAGAAAACAGAGAGGAGCATGAAGACTCTGAAAGTTTCTCTCTCATCGGTGTTTCTCTGATAGAGATACACTTTTTATCTTTAGAGAGCAGCAAAAGTTGCACAGAACAGCTAATGTTGAAATATTCAGTAGTATTTTTTACATACTCAGTGCTTTTATGTGAGTCCTGGGGAGGAGGTGAATTTTCACTGAGAAGCAAGAGCAGCTGAGCCTTATCAGAAGTTGGGAAACAGATATAGATGCACATATACCCCTCTCAAGAAAATATTCTTTATTTCAGCAGCACCCGTTCCCGTGTCGGTCACTACTGAGAATCCGTATACATTTGAACATCCAAAGACCTCAGAGGGTAATGATTACTGGTCATCTTTAGCCATTTTTCTTTTCATCTTTTCATTCATCTGCAATTAGAAACAGTGTTTTCCTTGTTTTCTTTCATATGTAGTCCAGACTCAGCAATTGAAAGTATGCTCTTGGTGTTTTATTTTTTCTCAATGGTTCTCATTGGCTCACTGAACACCTCAGAGGTACCTTTGAAGCATATGGACTGATAGCTCTACTTTTTGTGTGATTTTTATTTCATTTTGTCTGGTAAAAATGATATTACTTAGCCATGTTTTTGTTTCTCTAGAATTCTGTGTAGCCCAGTACATTTTAGGCCTTGTGCCTAAAATGTGATTAAGTATCATTTGTGATTAAGTATCATTTAATTTATTCAGAAGGAATAAACTAACAGTAAAGACACAGCTACATGGGTATAATGTGTATCTGTTAGCAGACATACTTAGCAGTTGATTTATGACTGGGTAATATTAACAAATTATGGCAAGTCTGAAATAGCAAGTGAAAATTCATAGTGGTTTTGGTGATAGAACCAGACATATGACAGCTGTGCTGAAGTCACAAAATAAATACATACATATATGCATATCCTGTTGGAATAAGCATTAAAGAACTAATGTAAGGGATGAAATGCATCCTGAAATAGTTTTTTGTTTTGTTTTGTTTTCTGATTATTTTCCCACTTTCTCACATGTCACATTTGTCATAACAAAAGATCTGTGGCCTCTTGTGCTACTAACATACCAAATTAGGAGTTGATGGGATTAATATGACAAAAGATTTATAAAAATGGCTGAGAATACAGCAGGCTTTCACGAACCTGTGCAGCTGAATTAAATTATGTTGCTCACGTCAGTGAGGATAAGATCAATCTCATTCCTTTGCAGGTTTAACCTTCTTGATGTAAAAGTTTACGTTACTATGTTTGTGAGTTTATTTTATCTCACATATTTCTTCCCATGGTAAATGTACTTTCTCATTTGAAAAGAAGCAGAAAAAAAAAATAAAGAAATCCTACTCTTTGGATCTTATCTTGGTTTTACTTTCTGTGATTTAGCATCTCACTACTGTATTTTGGTTGTGTAATTAAGATTCAATTTTTCTTAAACAGGGCAGATTGGAAAGCTAGCGTAGGAAGACAAGAAATGTTGGAGGCAGGGGTGTGACAGGGCAAATAAGTATTTCAGAAGCGGTATTGTTTGTGTAGATTTCAAAGTATTCTATTAGAGTGTTAATCCTAAAAAAAAAAAAAATAAAATAAAATAAAAAAGTGAAAATACAGATAGTTGCGTTAGTTTTCAGGATTTGTAGTGATACCAGAGATAAATCAGATAGCTGGCTAATTTTTAATGCCCTTTTTAATTTCTCTCAAAAATTTTATCATCTTTTAAAAGGGAGCTAATAGCTAATCATATAGTTCTGTTCTGCTTCTTAGATGAAAATTTATTTTGTGGTCCTCAATTATGTCCAATATTTTTCATTTTGCCATCTTTTCGTAGGAATGGCTTTTCATTGCACTGAAGCTGTAGCTTAAAAATGGTCTTGAAAAAGTGCTACTCCCCTGTTTTCATATCTCCTTAAGCTATTTTTCAAAACCTTTTACTTGTGCTTACTTATTAAGAATGAAAAATGTTTATTCCCGCTACAGCCAGTTGTAAAGTATTAATTGTGCTGTTGTTGAAACTTTATAAGGATCTAACATGTCAGTTTATGAGGAATTAACAAAGTGCTAGTATCATAAATCAAACTAACCAATTCTGATGTCAAATTAACCAGTTCATAATGAAGAATCACCTTTTCCTCTGTGCAGAACCCTCAAACCAGTGTTGCTTTTAACAATAATGCCATAATTGAAGTGGGTTTAAGTTGTATGGTGCTAGATAGATTGTTTATTATGGGAGTGGGTGTCCTCAGTCTTTGGGCTTTGCACAGAACAATATTCTTTTCAAAGGCAATGTGTCCTTAGTGGCTACTGGGATGTGGGATTTTCTATTGTTTTACTACTGGATGATACCAGTAGCCCTGAACAGATTCAGCTCCAGACTAAAAGCTGGTGCGTTTTGTGGGTATTCTAGATTTTACTCAAGGTTTGATTTCTAATTAAATCTTCAGAACTATTGGCTTCAGACTTCAAAAGTTCAATCTTGTCTTTGTAAAATTTGGCTTGGATATCCATATTCATAGATTGGGACTATTCCCAGTGCTAACCTCTTGCAGAATTATAATAGTATTAATATTAGGGTATTATATCCAAAGAGGCTCCACTTCCTCTTTATTTTAGGATACGTAATATTTTTGGCGTAATACTTCATGGCATTTGAACAATAAAACCTGTTCCCTGGATGTGTAGCAATTCCACAGACAAGCCTTTCTGTGGAGAGCCCATCCTCCCAGATTCCTCAATATAGCTCCGCTAACTAGGTTAAACTAAAAACCTATTAAATTGAGAATTGTTTCTTGACTTCATAGCTTTGAAGATAAGTGATAGGGAAAAGTGAATTATATTTGTCCTCTCTTGCTGAAATCCGGCAATGCGAGAAATAATGATGATATAGCATCAGAGGTGCAGTGCTTCAGTATAATTGTCATCCTACCAATTTTTTTATACATGTGCTGACCAACCAAAGGCTATTGCTCTGCCCTATTCTACTGCCGTATTTTCTAGTTTCCTTACAGTCCATTGCTGGAATTAGGTTAGTTAGTCTCTGCTGGAGATTAAAAATGTATCAAAAGACTGGGTAAACATAAAATAATATTTTAAAATATATAATTTTACAACTTCTCTTTTGTATGTAATGTCATTTGTATGTTATTTTTATACTGAATTCATTACAATCCATTTTGTAAACTAAATGAAGCTCAGGAGAAGCAATCTGAAGGAAGATTTGAGACATTGTTTGCGTTTGCTCTGCAAATTGTTTTCTGGAAAGCCCTTTAACATGATTCTTTAGCCTTTAAAGCTCTTCCAAGTTTTGCTCTTTAAAGCAGGGGTTCAGCCAAAAGCAAATATAGTGCTTCATCAGGAAAGGTTGTCTCTAAATGATTTGGTTAAATTGATTAGGATTTGATTCTAATCAGTTGGACTCCCTTTTTTCCAGTTGCAGTGACTTCTACTATAGAAACGCTTTGAAAACTCTTCTAATGACATTGATTGGCAAAAGCAACACTAAACTGCTTTATTAGCCTCATTTTTTAGCTCTTTCTTTTCTTTTGACTCAACATTTAGCAGCTGATGTTGCTCCAGAAGAACATCCAACTCTCATCTGTTTCTTCAATGATTCTACCTAGACAGTTTTGCCCATATTCTATTAGATATTTCATACAATAAATACATTCCATCATTTTTTCCACATTTATTCATTGATACAAGCTGAAAATCACTTCCTAGTCTTCATTTCATCATTTCCAAATGTGTCTTCTATTGGACACCGTTTGCTATAGCCAGTGCTTAAATGTTGATGTTTACAAAGATGTTTTTTTTTTCCAGTATCCAGTGAATCACAATCCATACACTGGAAGCCCTCATCTTCTAAGACTAAAACACCTCCAACAACACCTTTGCAACCTGAAGTTGGTAATGGCATTTCTTTTGCAACTGTGTGCCTTGAGGGTTACTGCTACTTTAGAAAGACAAAAAGTAGAAAATTTCAGATTTTTTACTTGGAGGCAGCAAGGTAGTGGTTATTATGGGGTGATATTGCTTATACTGCGAGAGAAAACAGATTCCTTCTGAAAATATTTGGCAGAGATGTAGAATTTAATTCTGTATTTCAAAAAGTGTTTGTTTCTTAAAAAATTAATTTGCTGGATTTTTTTCAAAGTCATATTTTTTATATCCAAAACTACAAATATTTCAGAGCCTTTAACATGACTGAATGAAGATAGATTTAACGTTCCTGGATTTTGGTCAGATTGCCAGTGCTGAACAGTATCACTTTCTTTTCTTTCTTCTCATTCTAGGATCAGGGCAGTAACTATTTCAAAACTTTGGGGAAGGAGGAAGTGGGAAGGTTTATATTTTTGTTGTGTTTTATCATTTCGTTTTGTTCTTCCCAGTTCCAGCTGAAACACAGTTCATTCCTACCCAGACTAAAATATCCCCTCAGCCAGAACCATACTCTAAGTCTGATTTTTGGTTTTTTTTTTTTTTTTTTTTTTGCAATAGCACCTAAAAAAATCCCCATAGCATACCTTGGGTTTATGATATAATTTTTATTAGACTATAACAAGAGAAATCTTGGAGACTTTCTGATTTTTTTTTCTGTTTTTATTTGAATACTGCTACAGCTGTACCAATAGCAATATTCTAGTCCTTAGATTGATTGCTTACCTTAGAGGTAAAATTCAGCTGTTTTGTCATGGTCAGCATGGCAATTTAGAGTAGTAGCATACCTCCCTGTGGGATCCCTGGCATCCCTGTATACCTTGACTCCTTTACTACCTGTGAGAGAAGCAGTGTGATCTATTCCCTTAATCTTCCTAGGATTTTCTCCTTTTTAAATTATATTTTTTTTGCTCAGTTGCTATCAAATATATAAACTACAATTTTAAAAGAACTGATAATCCACATTACCGTGGTATACTGTCAGCAGTTGCTTTTATTCTTAACCAATGGAGTAACTTGAAATTACTTGAAGTATGTTCTGTACTCATCGTGTCGTACTGTTTCTGTTACAGTCTCGGAATCCATTGCATTTAGAATTGAATCACCAGGGTCAACAATAGGTAATGATATTTCCTTAGCAAGCTGTCGTGTTTGCTTTTCTCATCACAGAAACTCATGCTGAAGCTATCACCTTATGCCATAGGGTTCTTTCATCAACCCTTTTTTTTCTTCTAGATTATTCTTTTGCTTAATATTCATGGTAGTTTGGCATAGGGTGCCTTCATGGATGGAATGTCTCCTTTCTGCGAAAACAAGGCTGGCAGCTCTGAATCACCTTTGTCATAATTATTTCTGTCTGTGCTAGCAATTCAAATCCAACTTTTTATTAAAATAAAAAAAAAAAGGAAGGGAAAGAAAATCAGAGCTCCAAGGATGACCAAAGTTCCAGTCCTCTGCTGAGACTGACATAAATACACTGCCAGTATTCTGTTTTTTCATACCTCTCCCTCTACTACTGCCTGTAAAAAAGAATTCTCCATTGCAGGTGTGAAGCTTCTGTGTTTGTGTGTTAAACCTGTTGCCAGACCTTGATTGCAACTTCTTACCCACTTTTTCTCTTCCAGCTCCGAAAGAGACTCACCATATTCCTTCTAAACCTAAAACTTCACCCAAACTTCATATCCCACATGCCACAGGTGGTAAACTATTTTGTGTGATTATTTCTAATACAATTTATAATGGTTTGAAATGTACTTCTAAGCAACAATATTTATCTAAACCACTTAAAACATCTCAGGGTTCTGTTCTGCTGTGTATTCAGTGATGTTTGACATGAGGTGGGCTAGTAAGACATTTATGTGAAAGACTACGCATCTGCTAGCTTGTGTCAGTAGAAAGAGAATAATGTTGCTTGACTCAGAAAATAATGAAAAACAGAGTGAATTCCTTGCAATCGAAGTCTGTATTATGGCTACTTAGGTGGTGGAATTTTTTGTGTAATCCTTGGTATTGTCAGGGTAAACGTGATGCTTCGTTTTCAAGTCACAGTTGTTTCATCATTGTTTTCTGCATAAGCATATAAATTACTGAGTGGAGAGCTACCATTTGTTACTTAACAAGTAAATATATATTATTTGCCTATTAATATTTATGGTATTAATACTTATCTATGCAGTGTTCAAAAATACTGGATTTTCATATATTATGTCTTTAAACATGAGTTCAGTTGAATTCACTAATATATAGGAAAACAATGACTTAGTGTTCTGTGTTACTCAAAATATATATATATTTTTATTTTTGTAGTAATAGGAACAGAAAATTAGCAGTGTATCTATGTCAAGAAATGTTCTCTTTTGGTAAATGTGAACAAATTCTTGATAATCACATTACTGAAGATATTTAAATTTCTGACATGGAGCAATAGTTTTGAAAGTTAATGATATCTATTAATCATGTGATTTCCTTATTTAAAACAGTCAGAAAACATGTTTGCTCATAATTCTGGCATAATTGAATGCTGGCAGTTGATTATCAAATACTGGTTCCAAGCTACAGTTTAAAATGTAGTTCTCCATGAACTCAGTGCATGTGTTCTTTGAATACTCCTACTTTTGTGGCCATTTTTCTTTATTACTACCATAGCCTGCCCTTCTCAAAAAAGAGTTTTGTATTGCAGATATTGCACATTTGGACTGTTCTGTGTCCAACAGAACAAACAAAACATTTATCAATTGTTTCTTCAGGAATCTGTAACATACAGAACTTTATTTTTGACAACATCAATCACTTACCTTTTTGTGATAGTCTTCAAATATCCAAATAACAAAAATTTATAACAATTATCACCCTTACAGAAGAATTGACATAGAAAAGGGAAGGCATTTCTTCTGTCCTTCTGTTTCTAATGAGGGAAATGCAAGGAAACAGCATTAATTTTACATCCTTATGAAAATACTCTATTTTATTTTTAAATTCATGACAATCTATAGCTTATGTTTACAGTCATGTAGCACAACACTCTGTAAAGCTCTTTAATAGCATGGCATCTGAAACAAGCGAGTACAATCATACATGTAAACTGCATTCAGAAATGCATCACTGAGGGCAGAGTTTTGTGTTCCCCAAGAGCCATTTTCTGAGAAAGGGATTGATAAATAATTGGATAAATAATTGGGAGTATCAAGGAGTGTGAAGATGTTTCATCTTAAACCTAGTTCCTAATTGTCTCAGATAGACTGTTCAATGTATTGCTTTGTACAGGGCAATATATAATTTACAGTTCAATTATTATACACATAATACTAATTGTAAGTGGAATTAATCTCTTTAATTCTCATGCTAGCTTTTATGCTTTGTTTTCCATACAGTCCTGGAATCGGTAACATTTAGAACTGATGAACCAAAAACAACAATAGGTAAAAGTATTAATTATAGAGGTCACCTCATTTAGTTTTTCTTCTTGGCAGAGACCTAGCACATACATAAGTATATGTTTATTGTTCCCCATTGTCATAAGGTTTTACCATTAAATTTAGCCTTTCTTTAAGGTTTCTTTTGTTATTTTGCACTAACAATTCTTATTCATTTTGTTGGTTTTCCTTCACATTTTTTTTCCTGTAAAGCAGATGGAAGCTCCACAATCTTGCTTTGACCATGTTTCTTTATATTCCGTTTCTGCAATATGCTTCATCTGTTATACTAGCCTCCAAGTCAGTCATCCATCCTGGCCTTGCTTTATTTGGTCCTGTTACAGAGACTCTCCATCAGCACCATCTCTTTGCGTACCAGACATTCATACTCCATTACTCATATAAGCTTTTTGTGTCTCCAGGGGTTTGCAAGGCATGTGTTCTCTTTAAATGTTATGCCTTCTGTCAGTCTCGGTTTGTTGAGCAATTTTAATAGTCTTTTTTTTTTTTTTTTTTCAGTTCCAAAAGAAACGCACCATGTTCCCTCCAAACCTAAAACTTCACCAAGCTCAGAGGTGCCACACACCAAACCTGGTAAAATACATTGCACTTTTATCTTACCATACTGATATGTGTGCTTTACAAATGCTACTTTGATCAGTGGAACTCCACAATTACTTAAATTGCTTTGTGTGTATTTGTTGAATCATTCTTTGAAGCATAGGATCCAGTATTGCATGTGGAATCTATAAGCAACCTAATAATTTTGGACACTCTGTCTTGGGTTGTTTTTCACATTATAAATCACTGCTGCAGTGGTAATTTTCTGTGCAAAGTCCATCTGCCATAGCAAAGACTTCAGTGAAAATACAGCTTTTCTCTTTGAATTTGGATGTTTGGGGAATATGAAAAAGAGGGGAGCCATTGCAAAGAAGGAGGTCTCTCCTGTGATTCTCAAGGTGGGCCCTTCCAATGTTCAGGGATTTGAGAATGTGTGGTACTTTCTATAATGTTGCCTACAGAGCTCAGAATAGACAAATGTACAACACTGGGCTAATTGACAATGGAGGAGGTTGTACAACATATGACATAAGGTACCCAAGGTATATACAGCATTAGGCGGTGCTGCTGTGGAAAATGGGCAGAAGATGACAACTCACTAAGATTCCTTTCTCTCCTCATAAATCTGCACCTGGTTTTTGAATCAAATCTTTGAAATAAGCCAGGAAAGTATACAAAGCTGAAGGGAAAAACCACCCACAATTTCATTGGGCTCTAGATTTATATTTGTGTTCTGTGTTGAGTTTTTCCTTGAGCTGGAGACAGTTCCAAGTTGCACAATACTCTGTCATGTATTGAGTTTCAAGGAGGAGTCGCAATGGCTCACTGGCTGCCATAGGATAGCATTGTCACTGTGGAAATAGTGATTGTAATATTTTGAGTGTTTTTTTTTAATTGTAATTAGTCGATTTTTGTTTTTTATTACTTTTATGCAGTCCTGGATCCAATTATGTTTAAAACCGAGAAACCAAAGTCAACAGTAGGTAATGATACTTTCTTATTTGGGTGGTCATTCTTTCTTTCCCTTTCAACCCAAGTCAGTAAGAGTAGCCCTGTGAAGATTGGTCACCTTTCTTTGTATATGTCTTAATAATTAAACAGTCAAGATTATCTGTTGCTCTTTCATCATAAGAATTGAGGTGGATCCTTGTATTTTCCAAGCTTTTATGCACTGGGCATAGGCTAATTTCATTCAAAATTTAATTATAAAAGGTAGAGGGTAGATCAAAATGAGATCCTAACTTACGCATTCTCAGTCACGCATGAGAGGGAGCATCATGTTAGATAGTCATGTAGAATAGAGACTGCATAATGCAAATTTTCTTTTTCCCCTTCTGTTCTCATCCATTTTCAGTAAACCATTCAGTCCTTCAAAGAAGGTCTGAAAACTGTTATGTTCCAAGTAAACCTCAATTCTGCTCTTAAAATAAAGCAGTTCAGTGATCACTGGGTAGTATGTACCCTTGAGTATGGGACCTGTTCAATTAGGATGGTTTTATTGTTTGTTTGATATTACAATCATTCCAATATAGCCTTCATTATCATGCAGTGACTTTATATTTGAAATTATGATTTTCTTTTTCCTCCATCCTAAATAGAACCAGAAATTCTCTCACATACTAGTTTGATAGTTTCTCAAGAGAGATTGTTTCTTTTCTCTGCAGACTGAATTTGTTCCTGATAAATTTTTCCTATTTAGCACTTCTGTATAACACTTCAGATAAATATCTTTGGTTCAAGTCTTTGTTCTGGGTTCATATTGGTCAGTTGGGTTACTGGTGGTAGTGGCTAGGAAAATTTTAGTACTATGTAACCCAGGTTATTTCTCTCAGCTCCTAGAGACACACGTCGTGGCCCTTTCAAACCTAAAACATCACCTACTCCACGCGTTCCTCCAACCAGAGCAAGTAAGTTTGTTGTTACTTTGTCCTTTAGCGCGTGAAAGTTTATCATACTGAAAATAGTCAAAATTGTTGAGTTTTTTTAAATGTATACAGATATGTGGTGAATAGCCACTATTTTAGTATTATAGTGAAATTCTACTCTCTAGCTGCCATGAAAGAAGATAATATGGCTAGGCAGCTATACCTGTCAATAACTTGAGCTACAAAAATGATCACGGGACTGGAGCATCTCCCGCTATGAGGAGAGACTGAGAGAGCTGGGCCTGTTTAGCCTGAAGAAGAGAAGGTTGAGAAGAGATATTAGCAGTGTGTAGCAGCTTAAGTGGTGTGAAGAGGAGGGACCAGACTTTTTTCAGTGGTGGGCAGGGATAGGACAAGAGGGAACGGCCACAAACTGAAGTACAGGAAGTTCTGTCTGAATTTGAGGAAAAAATCTGTGAGGGTGACAGTGCAATGGAACACGTTACCCAGAGAGGTTGTGGAGTCTCCTTCCCGTGAGATATTCCCGTCCCGTGAGATAACCCACCTGGACGTGATCCTGTGCCACGTGCTCTAGGTGATCCTGCTTGCGCAGGCGGGGTTGGACTAGATGGTCTCCAGAGGTCCCTTCCAACCTCAACTGATTCTGTGAACTACAGCAATTTGCAAGCTGTTTAATAGAGGGACGGAGAGTTAATCCAGCACTACAATGCTGCAGCTTTTTTATTTTTAGCCTGTGCATGAAATTTATTTTTGATTACTTTCAAATTGAAAAAAAAAATCTAAAAAGAATTTTTTTTCTTTGCAGAAAATGAGTCAGGAAGATCAGATGATCTGTATTTAATCATCATCCTAAATACTGTCCTCAAAGCTTTGCTTATCTTTCCAGGTCCAAAAGAGAGTCGACGAGTGTCCCCCAAGCCTAAAGCATCCCCAAGTCCAGATATATCACAGACAAAACCTGGTAAATATATTGCTATTATGTTGTCCTTGAATAGTCATATTTTCCTTTGGGTTGCCTTTCCTCAGTTAAACAACAGTAACATTTAATACCACAAACAAACAGATTTTTTAACAAAGATTAAATATATGTTTAAAGATTTAACACATTTATATTTTTAATGCTGAGTTTCAAAGATGTATGTGTGTGCTTTTCACATGTACAACATGACAGTCGTCACTGATGAATAATCTGCATATCTGTGTAAACTATATACGAATTTACAACAATGTTCTTGGAAGAAACTGCATCTGTTTTGTGCCTATCATCAAAATCATCCTCGAGGGCCTTCATATGTGACTGTAAACCTCTGAAACCCATACCACTCATATATCTAATCAAGTGTGCTCTGATAATGGAATTTGACCCTTAAAATAGACTTCATAGTTCACTTGTTAGTTGAACTGTCAATGTCTGTCATTCCTCGTGGTTTGGAAGACATCAGTCGGACTCTCCTTTAGAATGAGCGTGTATTAATTGATTCCACAAATAAATACTTAAAAGGGAACTTAGAGTATGCACTCACATTTGGAAAAAAAATGGTCAGGTAAAAGGGAGTTTTTCTACTCTTTTGATAATACTTATCACTAATTCTGTGCATGTTCTTGTTTTTATGCAGTTTTGGCACCTGTAACATTTACAGTTGAAAAACCAAAGGCAACAATAGGTAAAAGCATGACCTTAAGCTGATCATTATTATCTTTCTTTCTACTCCTTGGACCAGATTATAGTTTCTTCTGTTTTTCATGTCATCTTTTTGTGTTTTTTTTCTTTTGTTGGTTTGTTTTTTTAAACTTACTCAGCTCAGTTCTACTCTTTTCCAGGTACCAAAAGATTCTTAGCTGTTTTGCTGTCTTTGCAGATAATAGCTCTTTCATTCTCATGAACACTGCAATTTTTTTGATTGTTACAGGAGCATTCATGTGTAGATTGCAGCTACCAGCTCTGAAATACAGATGGAAACACCACAGCTATGACTGTCTATGTTTTTTCCATTTTTGTTGTATTCAACAAGACTTTGCTTATCTGATTGCTTCTCCATATATTTTTTTTTCATTCATGGCCATTTATTCCTTTTAAATTTCTGTATTCTGACTTTAATTTTTGCAATCACTCGCATAAAAAAACTAGTTTTTTCCTTGCACGCACAAAGTATCCAGTGTCTGCAATAAACCTGAGTTCTGAAAAGTATGAACCCCTTAAAACTGGTCTTTTCTTTCAGCTCCTAAAGACCTGCCACATACTCCCTTTAAACCTAAAGCAGCACCCATCCCAGATGCTTCATATACCAAGCCTGGTAAATTACTTTGTCTTTTGTCAAGCTAAGGTTGCTAACTTAGCAATAGCTTTCTAGAAAAGGTTCTCAACAGTAAAGCTGTTGGTACCTCTTTAGCATTCTAACACAGAAAACCTCTGCAATGTTGATTTGAGTATTATCTCTGGTAGAAACTAGAACAGTTTAAGAGATTTTGGCATTATGCTGGTATTACAGAAAAAAAAAAAAAACAAACAGGTGGTATTGACCTGTATGTTTAAACCAAATCCAGAAAGTTGTTCACAGCATGTGTTTGAAAAACATGCTTTTGTTGTTTACAGCATGTCTTTGAAGCTCTTATGAGAGAAGGCTCCTAGAGCTGTTGCAGTGTTTGTCACACATTTTCGGTCAAATGAGATTGAGAAATCTCTTCTTTGTGTCATGGGGTTGTTCTGATTTGAATACATCTGACGAATCTATGCAAGTCAACAGTGATTTCACTGAAGTTTTTTCTTTTTGTAAGTATCTAGATATTAGAAACAAAAATTGAAACTCTCTTGAACATAAATCTGCAAGCGCAAATTCCCATTTTAAAATACTCCCGATGGAAATAGTATGGTGTTGAAGTGTTGTGGAGGGAGGACGGGAGAAGGAGGAGGTATCTCTTCATTTTCCTGAGGATTTATCCCTTTTTTTCCAACAGAAATCATTCCACCATTCCATGAGCCACTTACCACTATGATTCCTCATATTACTGAAAGAACAAAGGCAACACTGGGTAATCATGTGTATTTCATTAATAATTACTTATTTTTTCCATTCTTATTAGACAAGAAATTCCTAGGGGGAATTTGTTAAATGATATTGAAAACTAATAAGGTAATGTTGCTCTGCTTCTAGATACCTGGTTGTCCTTTGGACTAGGTAAAGATAATAATGCATGTGTGGATTCACTTTTGGATGTTTTTACTCATTTTCCAGCTATCCTTCTTGGAGGCTATCCTTTTCAGCTATCCCTCTCCATCTCCTAGGAGATGACCCAATTCCTGGAGCTGTTATATATTTTTCAGTAAAAAGACATTTATATTTAAAGAGCAGATAATGATTCCTGTGAATTATGCATTTGAAATATAGATACTGTTACACAAATATCTTTTGCTGATTTGTTCTTCAGAAAATGATCAGTGGGGAGCTTGTGCTGAAATGTATTTCTCACTGATTTCTGATCTTATTGCATATTTTTACAGGAGAAAATTGCAAGAAAATGAAAAAATCTCAAGTACAACATAATGTATACCAAAATAGACTATCTATGTGGCCCTTTAAATCAACAAGTCTTAAAAAAATCTTTTCTGTTAGTTTCTAGTCATTCCTCTTGGGAAAAGTTGCATAAGTAGCTGAAATATCACTTTCATAATTCTTACTTCTTAATGTAATTTTCAAGTCTGACCCAGACATGAGTTGCTTAATGAATCGAAGTAATTTTGTCCAGTAGGAGCCAATAAATTACTCCATCAATATTTGTTAGTAATTGGTTCCCTACCAGAATTTCAGAGGAAAACTCTGGCCATGGTTTTCTAAGAATAAAATGGTATCATTAATGGAATATTACTGACGTATTAATATCCATGCAATAACCTGTAACTATAACAAATAACTATGCTTTTTCTCTTTCAGAAATAGGAAAATAAAAATACTTTTCATCATATTAACTGTTTAATATGTATTTCCTTGACACTTAGATCTTGATCTTGAGATATATTTATGTAACTTTGTACACTTTCTATGCCCTGTCTGTCACATTCGGATCTACTAGCTGTATTATTCAAACGCAAAAAATGATTCTTCAGAACAAAAGTTATGAAGAATGTACAGACTAGGATAGATTGTAAGAATTTGATTGTTATTTCTTTCTTTTTTTGAGGATCTTTTTACACTGTTGAGGATCACAGACTCACAAGTGTTCCCTGTAAATGCTAAGATACCCTTTCCAGTAAATGATACTGCCTGGCAAGAATTCTAACTGAGGAGTGGAAATTTCAGTATTGGTTAGCTTGCACAAAAGAATTAAAAAGTTAATTTGTAGAACAAGCCTGATCTGAAAGGTCCACTGTAAAAAATACTATCCTCAGATATTCACATATGTGCAAGATGCAGGCCATTAATGTCATTACTTTATTCTGTTTGTAGCAATATTCTTCAGTACTTCATGCAAAGCTACACATTTGTATCTAATTTTTGAAAATCCTGTCCATGTCAGTGACCATTTAATTTCTTTTTCTTTCTTTGCAGAAATTCCAACCGATTTTTAGCTTTACCCTTACATAATTTGTCTTACTGTAGATAAGATCAAACTTATGTTCTTTGTGTACTGTGAATACAGTTTGACAGGTTGCTTGATTGTTGGTTTTCCTTCCAAATAACTTGGCATTTATTGTTCTGGGTGCTGGTTTGTTTTCTTTCTTTTCAGCTCCAACCGAAAAACAGTTAATTCCTATCAAACCAAAAGCACCTCCCAAGCCAAGACTGCCACACATCAAACCTGGTAATGGAGTCATTCCTGTAATTTTGTGTGTTTCTGTTTAATCACTCTTTTCACCTAGCCTCAATTTTCATGCTTTTCAGGAGCATTATTCATAGCTGATTTTGTGCCAAATCAGATGTATCTCACTGAAGTTAGTGAATCCAAAATATTTTAAAACTCTGCTGAATATAATAGGAAGATTTTCATTAGGGCATTAGTAACATTTTTCCTCCTTTCCATGATATAGATTAATGATGAGTTAAATGAGTTAAATGTAGTAATTTGAGGCATGATGAGTTTGGGGGTTAGATACACAGAGTCCTCTCTGATTACCAAATCCGAGAGGCTTCTCTGTGTGCATTGTCTTGCCACAAAAATGCAGCAGAGCTTGCTGAAATGTGCTTGTAGTCCTAGCAACTAAAATAGTCACCTATAATAAAACCAAAATAGTTTTCAAATGTTAAATTCCTATTTGAAATATGTCTATTCCCATTTTTGTCATTGTATCAAAGGAATATAAAGAAGTTAATAGAAAGACATTAGCTGTAAACCTCTGCCAACAATTTGTTTTAATATTGGTTGAGATGTCCTCAAAGTTTTAGAAATAGTGCAAATGCTTCCCTGTTTCCATTACAGTTTGACATTCTAAGACTCTTCACGTTTTCTCCCCAACAGCGATACATCAAACAACCCCACAACCACTTATTACAAAATCTGCTACTACCACTGAGCAGACAAGGGCAACAATGGGTAAATAAGTTTCCTTGAAGTTCAGATGCCAATATTTTTCATTTTTCAATGAAAACTTCAGTTTTCAATTGAAAATGAAATTTCTAGAAAACATGCTCTGGGATGTTACTTTGTGCAACATCATTCCACTGTCCTTCATTCTGCTTACACACATGCATGTCTCCTAATACAGAAGACTCTCAGCTCTGTTGTAGAAGTAATGCAAAATTGCATTGCAGCTCATCTCTATTCAGAAGCTTGTATTTCTCAGTTCTTCAACCATACTGAGTGGTCTAATTTTTCATTATAATTCTTCAGAAGAACAAGAATTGTAGCTACTAACTCAGCTTATCCTTTGACACAATATTAGAACTTCCCGTGCTTTGGACAATTATTTTGTTTCAGGTTCCAGAAACCCATGGAATTGTTATTGTCTTTTTTTACAGGCATTCCAGGCATGCACTCTCTGGGCTAGACATGGCATTGGATTGTGATTCCTGAAGGATACAATGATAATCTTTCTCCTTTCTTTCAGCTCCAAAAGAAACACTGCTCATTCCTTCTAAACCCAAAACATCTGTCGGGCCAGAAGTACCACAGACTAAACCCGGTAATTTTGAAGTTTGCAACTTAAAAGTGTTGTGGCACTGCCTTAGCAGTATTTTCTTCTGCCATTCAGTTCTCTGGTTGTTTGCTACAGATTTATCTAGAGGGAAATTAGTATCACTGATCAATAGACATTAATAAAATTGAGAAGATGCCAAAGAATTGTATCAATTCTTTCTATGGAGTAGAGAAGTTTAGATAGGTGGGTTTTTATAAGAGTTGCTTGTTTAATTGGTGGGTAGTAAGCATTAAAAACATGAAGAATTTGTTTAATTTTAATAAAATTAATTGCTGTAACTAGCTTCACTATATTCTTTTCTCCTTGGGGAACTTACTGTCTGAAATTAATGGATAGAATTTTCTTCAACTTCTCAAATACTCGGGGTTTGGAATCCGACTTAAGGAAAATTCAGCCTAAGTATACAGGTATCTCCTTCCCATCAGTGATCCTTGCAGTAGCTACAGCAGATTCTAGCTATATGTATAGTTACAATGAAGAATGTATGAAACTTCATCCTCACCCTGAGTTGTGGTGGTATGTAACTATTTTCATAAAATCTACTAGGTAGACCAAAACAATTATTAGGGAAGGAATGACAACATGATCATAAAAAGCAGCTTTGAATTTTTCCTATTTTATTTTTAGACAAGTAGCATATATTGATGAATAATTTCCTCATCTCCCCACGCCATTTTCTTTCCTTAGACTCATATTTATTAAGCAGTGACCCTATTCTTTAAAGAATTGTGCATATATTTTACCATTAAAATTGGACTGAATAGTCTGGTAGTAAGATCTGTTTTCTAAAGGATTATTTAGAAAGATCTACCCTAAGTAACGAAACTAGATTTTAAGTCTTGTGAAAGAAGGAGCTGAAATAGTGCTATTACCAATCATGTCATTGCAGCGAGGGAAGGATGCTTTAAAGATGATAAAAAATCCTACAACTTTTAGAAAATTTTGAGAGCAATGCAAGTGAGGGTGCCCATACTGGGAGAGGCAGGAGGCTTTTACTCTGGATTGCCTGGGGGAGCAGCAGAGCACTTGTGCTTTGCACCTGGCAGCCCAGAAAGTGCCCCAGACTATTCAGGACACGTGTCTGTCTCATATTTGTACAAGTTGTCTTAGCAGATAGGATTTCAGAGAATGAAGGGCACAGCTCCTTAATGAAATCCAACTTCTTTAATTTCACTTCTCACACAACAGTGTTTTATTTCTCATAGCTCCAAGGACGACACACCTGGGATCAATTAACCTTATAACGGTTCATGTTGTTGATGGGTCCAAAATGACTTTGGGTAATGAAAAGATTATGTCAGCTTATTTTTCATAAAGCTTTTCTTCCTCTGCTTTTGCAATATGACTGTAGTTGCCTTTTAATCAATAGAACAGTTAGTCCTAATGCAGCGCATGTACACAATGTTGCTGTTTCTAATCTTCCAGCCCTTTTGTTTGCAACTCTTTCTAGAAATAAGTATTTCATGCACAGGGCTGAGCAGTCGTCTTAAAAAAGCAGTAGCTGATCATCTTTTCTTATGTTGTCTGGCTAATGACGTTTATCTGCTCAGGCTTGGGAAGTCTAGTCTCTTCTCTGTATCGTGAATTTCTGCCAGGTTTCTAGCACTGACCCTTTTTGTACATGGTCTGCACATAGGCAATTTGAATTTCCTGTCTACCTAAGGTGTCTGATATTTAAAAAATAATCATATGTCTATGATAAGCAGTAATATCTTCATTTTCAGTGCCCAATGAAACATACCAGCTTTCACCGAGGCCCAAAAGTTCTCTTGTAACTGAGATCCCCCAGTCGAAAACAGGTAATTGGTACTATTTTCTTAATTGCATTGGGAGTATGTAGCTCTGAAGTAGAATAAGTACAATTTATGGTTTAATGGTCTATTCTTGAGGACTATAAAACAATTTAAAATATTTAACATGAAAATACATTTTCCCCTCTTGGATTGTTTCTATATGCTCCATTGCCCTGAAAACCAAAAACTACTCAGTATTGACTCACAAATGATACAAAGCTTTAAAAAAAGAGTACTGCTGTGTGTTTGGGTTCTTGGATACTTATTGTTACAGGCATAAATGTAACTGCCATCCACCTTTTTCCTTCAAATGCTTCATCTAAATCTGTAAAGTATATACCAAATATAAATGTCAAAGATATGTAGCATATTTTCCCCACCTAAATGTTTTCCCTGGCATTTCAAGCAGGTAAATTGTTCCTTCCGATAGATTATATGATATGGCTAGAATTGTTATTGGTTTCAAATATGAAACAACTACTTGTATTTACAGAAAGAAGTGCTGAGTTAGAAGCCCATAATTTGGCTTGAGATGGCATATTTACTTCTTCATATTTTCAAATTTCAATGTGATTCACACAGGTACTACAACACATAAAATACCAAAATTATTTGGCAAGTCAAAGGCAACACTAGGTAAAAGCTGAAGGCTTCTAATTTTAATCTTGATGCTGACACTACATTTTAGTAGCTTGTAGTGTGACTGCATTGAATGCTTCCAATTGTTTGTCCAGCAATATTTTAATGTTTTATGTTTTTATCTGACTGTTTTTTGGGGGTTCCGTTTGGTGTTTTATTTTGAGGTTTTTTGTTTGTTTGTTTGTTTTTGCAGACCCTAATTAAATGTCTTAAGGCCATGGATACCTTGCAGAGCTAACTCTGTATCCATATACAGTTGGGTAACTGGCTGTAAATATTTTTTTACTTCTTCTTAAACCTAAACATGAATGTAACTGGTCAGACTGCATGATGATTGGAGTCATCTGACCACTAAAGAAACTAGCATTTTCAACATGCATTTTGGATTAGAACTCATAGAATTCTCATGTGTCCATTTTGCTGTTTCGCCTTCGTGCATGGACCTTTGTTGTGGCAAATTACACTACATCGTTTATGTTCCTTTTATGCATAGTATTTAAACTGAAGTTTATTTCTTTCAGCACCACATAAAACACGTCTCACTTCTGCAAGACCAAAGCCATCTGATAAATCACAGACCAGGCCTGGTAATAATTGATTATTCAGACTGGGTTGGGGAGAAGTGAATTTAATTTTCTATTTATTTTAGTAAACTTTTAGTTTTTTCTGGGAAAGAAGGTATTTTTCTGTTTTATTTTATTTTTCTCAATTGTTCAGGTGGAACTTTCTCTTTTTCAATTTGTCCGTTGCCTCTTGTCCTATCACTGGTCGCTTGACTTAAATAAAAATGATAGTCTGGCCCTAACCTGTTGACACCCTCCCTTAAGATGTTTGTATATTCAATGATAAGATCCCCTCTCAGCCTTCTCTTCTTCAGACTGAACAAGCCCAGCTCTCTCAGCCTCTTCTCACAGCAGAGATGCTCTGGTTCCCTCATCACCTTCGTAGCCCTATTCTGAACTCTCTCCCGTAAAACCACATCCCACAACACAATATTCCAGGTGCGGCCTCACCAGAGCTGAGCAGAGGGGCAGGCTCCCCTCCCTGGACCTGCTGGCAACGCTCCTCCTGATGCAGGTCAGGATCCCATTGGCCTTCTTGGTCACGAGGGCACGTGGTCAGCTTGCTGTTCACCAGGATGCCCAGGTCCCTCTGAGCTGCTTTCCAGCAGGTCTACCCCCATTGATCAGTCTATAGATAAAACCTATCCAAGCTAGGGAAAAAATAAATACGTCATCAGAATACCTCTTTCTTTTCTAATATAGAGTTGTTGGTACTGCATATATAGATTATTTATTTATTTATTTATTTATTTTCTTGCAGCTCTTACTAGAACCACACTAGCACCAGTTAGAACAAGAACTCCTGGACTGCCAAAATGGATTGCCCCAGCAACGGACAGAGGTGAGATTTTTTTAAAAACTTATATTTCACCATAGAAGTTTATTGTTTAGGGTACTGTATGTAATTACTGTTGTTAGTCATGCTATATAGTTCTTCAGTGCATGCCCACCCCAGTTAAACTACATTTTATAAACCGTGTATTTATATCTATATATAATTATATATTTTTTATGTATTTATATATATTTATGCTTCAGATTAAGCTGATTGAATGCTAACAGGAAGCCCAGCTCTGTTAATTTCACAGAGTGTTCTGAAAAACAAACATCATACTGTCCTATTTTTTTTGTCACAAAAATTGGAATGCTTTTTTACCAAACTGCCCCTATGTGTGATGTGATACTCTTCCAGCCATGATACTCTGTGTATTTAATTCTTTAATTTTTTAATTTTTCTGACTGCTGAGGGTCTAAGAGGATTGATGCTAGTGTTGTTGCAAGTTGTATATGAATGCAGAAAATATCAATCCGATTTAGAGAGTTAGCCCTGTTGTTAGAATCATATAGATCTAAAATGTATAGATCTATACAATTGTATGTTGTGTAGAATAGTAAAATGAATTCCTTGGGATACATGACAGAGTCAGGCTTTGTGATATTAGTTTTGATTAACACCAGGATGTTTTTTTGATTGTGATTGCTTCTGAAAACGAACGTGAACAGAATCTACACTGTAATGCCAACTAGACCCCACTAACTTCATCACATTTGAGTTGATACTCTTAGTTTAATTTTATCTAATACCTCCATTAAACATGAATTAATATTGACAGAAACGAACTGTATATGTCAATGCATTGTTAGGTGAATAAACAGCCTAGATTTTCCCACCCCTATTACTAGCACTTTATTTTGGGCATATGAGTAAATGATTGCAGTTTCAAACACTCCCAACTCAGCATCTATTTGAAAAGCCACTTCAGTGTTGGCAGTTTTAAAGTGCTGATACCAGCACCCAGTCGCTGTAAACTTGCAGATTATCACCACTGCTACTCGCTGATGTTTTTCAGATGGTAAGCACAGAGCAGCGTACTGAGAAATTTGAACATAGTTACCAATTATTGTTTAAATCCAAGTCAGAAGACTTGGTGAGAAAGCCTTTAAGCCCAGCTGTCTTGCTAGTTGTGCAGGTGCTGTATTCATATGGGACATACTCATATGGAAACTGTCTGATATTTGGATACTTTCTGCACTGAGAAGGTTTTGAGTTAATGAATGTCAGGGTGAGAACTGTAACTTTAATTTACACATTTTTACACGCTTGAGCAGTTGCCATACATCCCTAATTGCAAAGATTTATTCAACATACTGGTTTGCTTGAATGAAAAAGGTTACTTATCCCTTTTCACTTTTACTGATCAAATAATAATGTCAGTGCTAATTCATAATGAGGGAGGTGTACACATACTGATTTTATACAACATTCATTTATTATGTCAATATAAATACTGATTTTTATGCAACTATGAATTTACCAAGTGCAGCATTTGTAATTCTTCATCAGTAGGGCAAGTTTAAATTAATGACCATATGCAAATTAAACTTTTGGCTCTTCACGCACTACTACCAACTGTGCTATCATGCTAGTACTATTTAAGTGTTCAAGTGTTCATTTACTCTACACATACCTTTGTTTTTTTTTAGCGGTGCAATGTTTCCATAGACCAGAATTTCCACAGTAGCTTTAGTAATTTAATATCCATCGGTGTTGGATTACTCATTCCTGAAGATAACTTTGAGAAGCCCAACATATTTCAGTTTTAATAGCAAGACTTGTGAAGAGAAGATTCTCGTGTATTTAGATTTGACTAAAATAGTCTGTTTAAAAAATGATACATTTTCTGTACTTTTCTCCAGTACATAGAGGGTGGGTATCCTCACTGGATGCGGCACTCTTTGAGCTTCCTAGTCTGGGATTTCTGGGAAATCTATCCTTTTCCAGGATGTCAGAAAGAGTTGCAGTGTTAAATGATCAACATCTGTAATAGTTAATGAGGAAATTCTGCTATTCACTTGTCTGCTTATAAGTGAGCTTTTTATTATGTGGTTATCAAAATGGATAATGTATACTGGTCTCCGGCACTATATAACTTTTGAAATCACACTGTGAACCTGCGTGCATACATAGTTATTTTAGAGTCAATATTACATGTTTTTGTCCTCACATACAGCAGTATCTTGGCAGTTTTAGATTAAAATATATATATACACTAAGTAAATCAGTGATCTAAATGTAATAATAGACATTTAAATTGCTTTAAGTGTGGTTTATTGTGCTTAATGCTATTGTAGGTGACTGCTGAAGTAGTGCTTAAGCAACCTCATTTTCAGTGTGTGAGTTGAAGTGCCACAGAGTCACTATTTCCATGTGTTTGCACCGGTGCCAGCTGTCAGCTAGGACTGGAGCTTCACTGTAGCAGCTGATGTCCCCAATGTGTCACAAGGCTATTACCATGCTGTGCATGCCGTGCGTAGGCATAGCGGAGCAGGTTCCTCTTTCTAGGCTGCTTCTGGAAAATGACTCTTCTGGCAGTATTTTCCTTGCTCTGTTATGTAAGCCTTTTTTTCTTTCTCTATTTTAAAGAAATGTCCCAAAGACAGACATCTGTTATCTAGATTTTGCATCCTGCCAACTGAGCCCTTTAAGTTAAACCTGGAGTCCAGAATCCTAACGAAGAGCTGACATTTCATTGTTTACTCTTTCTTTGGACTCTCTTAACGCTGCTGGTAAAGGAACTTGCAGATTTACTTACTGATACATTTCTGTGAGCCTGCAACTTTCTTCTCAGAAATTACAATATATACATGACATGATGAGAGAAAACTGTGACTTTTAGCAGTCTCTGTTAGGTCCACACTATATTCTTTCCTTGACGATCAGTAAGCGCAACCCCAGGTCTTCATGTGATGCAAGAACATCGCAATATTGCAGCAAATGTAACGTCTGTATCCACAAGGCTGACTGTGCTCTCATAAACCAATTTTCACAACTGAGTATTCAAGTGTAGCAAAATCTTACCTATCCCTTCCAAGCAATGTGCAGTTACATAAGGTAAATGGAATTCCCAAGTCTACAGAAGGGATTTAGAAAAGAGGAGAATTCCACCAGCCTAGAGCCCTAAACGTTACCAGCTGAGGAAAGGCAAAAGAGCTTGGTTTTCCATAGGTGGTTTCTTAGACAAATCATAAAATTTTAAGATACCAGGCAACCTGAAGGGGAGGGAAGGCAGGTAGTTTATTTATTCCATTTTGCAATTAGTACATTATTCTCTGTGCTTAGCTGTGCTAGATCTCTAAGCTGATCAGAATCCGTAATAGGACTGTAAGAAACTCTGTTTTCAGGCTTCCCTTTAGACGTTACATCATTTTTTCTCTCTTTGAAGAAGAGTACTACTATGGACAATCCGTGGCTACTCTGTCATATTGAGACCAGTTTGAGGGTTTTTTTGTTTTGTTTTTGTTTTAAATTTCCTTGCTGTGCGGGTAGTGATGTTGAATGTGCTCCAGTTTGTCTTCCTCATTGTGCTCATTAGCATCAGTGCAAAGGTATTTCACCCCATGCAGAGCGTGCTTGGCAGCTGCAGGACCCAGATGCTAAGCTCTGGAATTTGTTTTTTCCAGCAGCAGCACACGGGTTTGTGGCTGGTTTCCTGGCAAGCTTTTTGGTCTCCTGGCTAGTGTGCTGTTAGCTGAAGTGCCAGGTGGTAAACTTGACTGTGAGAAAAGGTCGGGCTGCATCCTTCTGACTAGATTTTTCTTTTAGCTTTCTGTTATGTTTTAAGCCATATTTTCAAGACTTTAATTTTAATAGAATGGCTTTTCTCAGTATACATTTTTTTTGTCTTGATATCCATAACTTATGTTATCATCCTCAGTGAATACTGGATTTAATCTAAACCACATAAAAATGTTCCCGATCTGCTAAACTTCCAGGTGATCTATTCTTCAGCAACATTTCCATTTTCCCATGTGAGTCAGATAGTTGGTTTTCTACATAACAGACTTTATATTCTGCATGCCTTTTAATTTTAAAACTGTGGATGTGGAGCAAAGTTCTTGAGGAACTCAAATATTGAGGTATTTCAATTTGTCTTATCATGGGTGCCTTTTCCAATTACTCCCTGAAAATGATCTATCCATGAATGGTATTCTTGCTTTTAAGGCTGCAGTGGTTATTTTTAAGGTGTTCCAAGTCCCACTAATATTTCCAGGAAAAAAGATGAAAGTAAAGAACACATAAACACACATGCAAGTAATACATCTATTCTTAGTTCTATTAAAAGTTTAGATGAGCATGGTAAGATGAAATGCTTATGATAAACCAGTTACATTAGTAAGCACTAAGCAAGTGCTCTGATAAACAGAGCAAGCTCTTTAATAGTTGCAGATACCATGTGTGTAAACACAGGGAAACTTTTATGTGGCTTTAAATTGCACGGAATCATTCAGAGAGGAGATTTTTTTCAAGAGGCAAGTGTGGCTTAATCGACTTTATCCTTGAAATTTAGACTTTGTCCTTGAAAATTAGACTTTGTTTTCACTACTACCTTGCTAATGGTACTGCAAGTTTCTGCAAAAGATTAGTTTTCCTGTCTGGAATGTATACAACTTTTTTTTCACTGTTTTCTGCTATAACTCAGAAAAGATTCTCTAGACATGGTAAGATGCAGAACAAAATTAGACCTGTGATAGATATTTGGATGATTTAGCCAGGGCGCTGCTGTATTTTGTTGAGGTATTTATTGTGAAAAGTAATCATATATCATATAATAAATATATATCATGTATGACCTACAGCGTACAAGATTTGTTTTCTTATTAAAGCTGATGCTGATGTTGTCATGCATGTTTTCCTTGAACACCATTCATGTGATTAACGTCCTGGTGCTTTCTGTATCTGAAGTTCTCATTAGGCACTTTCAAGATCTGAAGACAACATTTATATCAAAACCAGCCATTTGGAAAAGATATCTTTGGAAAGCTTGGTTGCAGGGACCAAACGATCTCTGCTTTCTTTCCAGCCTATTACAAGTATCATTTTGTTAATCTTCAGCAAACAAGCAAATGCTCCTATACTGTTATTTTCTCCTGTGAGAAGTGCTCAGAGTCTATCATTTCTTAGAGTGGAGGGTTTCAGTGCTATCTCCTTTGAGTATAGTGCCCCTGGATTTCTAATATGTTCATAGCAAGAATGGTCAAATATTAAAGTAATTGAAAAATATTCTTCTTTGCAATACCTCAACTTTCTGGGTTATTTTTCACATCATGAAGATTAGTTATTAATATTCAGTCTCTCGTTCTCCCCAAGATCAGTAAATTTGCAGAGAGTGAAACAGTCTGTTGTGATAAGCTGTTTTTTGTAGTAGTGTACTGAATAGAGTTAGAGCAAAGATTAATTTTCCACAAACCTGAAGGAATAACAGAATGTCTTCTCAGTCCCCCATGTATAGATTTTTTATAAAGTAATTATGCTTATTTGTATAGGGAAGGTGTATTAATTTAACAGTTTGGCCACCCTATAAATATCTGTGAAACAGTTGTTTTGGGCCAGGAATAGTTGTGTTGATCTTTTTAATGCCATGTACTTTGCATATGTGGTTTATTTTGGTCTCCACTAGTCCATTTATGAAATATGTTTGGTTCAGAATTGCTTTAGCCATTCAATATTAAAGCTAACCAAAAATCTTATTTTGGGAGCAAAGAAGAACTTAGCCCTTTATAAGAATCACAGGGACTTTATTCTGTGCACTGGAAAAAATAAATCAATGTCTGTATTTACCTTCCCACAAATCTTGATCTCACTTATCTGTTCATTTCATCCTGCTTTCTAAACATACCTTTTACATGGAATGTTTAAAATTATTGAAGTGCAGGCTCTTTAGACAAACACCATTTTCTTGGAAAAGGAAGATAATAGTTATAGTTAGGACTTCTGCAAAAATACGGTAATATATGGGAGTTTTGCACGTAATGTTACCTGGAACTTAACTATCAACAGTACAGAAGTATTCCATTACTTGTTCCTACTATGTAACTATTTATTTATTTCTCTTTAATTTCACAGATGATGTATATACACCTGAAGATATTGTCAAACTAATTGGTGCGGAAATAGAAAAACCTATGGAACATAGTGATACTTGGGAAAAGACATTCCCTGGTAAGGTTAATAAATATGACGATTCTTAATAGTTATGGAAAAATAAAAGCATTGCCTCTTATACATGAAAACACCTGCACTGAAGAGAATGAAATAATTAAACCATCCTTATCAGAGCACATTCTCCTGATTTCAATATGCTACTGAAAAGATAAAAATCTGAATATTTTATGGTTAATGGTTCATATATGGCATATAGTAGTGACTACCAGCACCAGTATTTATTGTGTTTTCATGGGCGAACAGCCACATTATTGTAAGCACTGTTTTTTTTCACACTTGAAGTTTCTAGATACCAAGGAAAGAATACATTACAAAATTATCTTCTGCTTATAAGATTCATTGTCGACTTGTTAGAATTGATTGGAAAATTAAAATGTTAAGATTGAAGTGACATAAAAAGTTTGTGTGTAAAAGATTGTGGTTGGTCTTCATGTGGCACACCAGGCTTTCAAGGTTTTTAGTTCTTGCAAGAGAATTTCTTTGCATCCTTAGCATAACCAAGTCCAGAGCTTGTTTTTAACTGCTCTTTTTACTGGCATTAAAAAAGAAAAAAAATCTTTTTGAATTTACACTTGATTTTTTTTTGCTGTAGCTGCTGTTTTAGTTAGATTTATCTTTGAAACTTATATGATTACGCTTAAAAGCACACTTACAAAGATATGCCTGTTACTGAAATATAAACTGCCATTTGTTCCTAATCGCTACTGAATTTTCTAACTTATCCGCACAAAGATAACAGCCTAGGTTGGCAGCTCATCTCTGATGAAATGTTTCATCTTTCAAAGTGTGATCAATCTTAAGATTGTACTTAGCAAAGATTAAGTCCAGAGCAATATACTATTAGTAGTAGCTGGATCCAGACTGTAAATTGAAGTCAAGGATGGCTCTGTTTCTTTTTATTACTGAATGTCAGACAGCGGTGTGTACTTAAGTAAATCCAGCCTGTGATTTGCAGAGCTTGGAAAAAATCTTATGCACATGAATTTCAAGGAACATCTACATCTGCTTTTACTCATCATATGACACTAGATTTTTAAAGTTAAGCTGTTAGAGCTTTGAAGTAAGCCAATTCCTTGGACTCTAGTCATAATAGATAGTTGGATATGCTTGTGAAATTAGCTGCTATTATTTCATAGTGTTCTCATATAGTTTCATAATTGAAGTTCCGTTCATGAGACCTTAATATGCATACCAAAATTCAGAATTAATCACACATCATCATAAGGTAAGCAGTACTTAACTTTTGTTTTGGAATAAATTGACTGAGTTTTCTAACCTTTAAAAGTGCGTTCTCTGAAACTCCCTTGCATTTACACCTTTTATGAGATATGGAAAAGATATGTTAGAGCACAGGGGAATCAACCCTGACACATTAGGACTCTAATCCAAATGGCTGTGCACCATCCTTTCTCATAGAGCGAGGGAGAGTCAGTGAAATACATTTCCTGTCCACAAATACTGACAGTATATAAATCCAAGTTGTTTCCCATGCAACTATCCTAGTAGGAAGCCAGATTATCACAAAATTCCTAAATTCTTTGACTTACAAATTCTCTCTCTATACATTGTTAATTATATTTGGTATCATCATAGACTATCTCCCAAACTAATGCAGAAGGAGTAGAAGGAAAGGGCAAGTATTCTTTTTTTTTCCAGAGTGTAGTACAATAGATCCAAGTGTGTCCCACTCTATTGAATGTGATATTCTGGCTTGCATGTATTATTGTGTTTGTGTCATTCTGAAAGTACCCTCGAAATCACTGATGAGTCAGAGCGTACCCATAAATACCTCTGACAATTCCATTCCTTAAATATGCGTTGGGGAAAGAGAATGTATTAATCATACACGGTACTGAGTAGTAAAATCTACGTTTTAATGACTTAAAAATACAAAAAAAAAATCCCTTTTCTGGTCTTTAAGCCTTCTTTTTAAATCATCTGCATCTAGGTATTAAAAATTGATATAAAACTTCAAAATTTTCAGAACTGCTGAATGTTCTTGAAGTAGATAAACAATAAACAATTGCTTCCTCTTTTGTACAGTGGGATAAACACATTGTGTTTTATAAATGACTGTGCAAGTCCAAAAGAAAAGAGGAATAGAGAAAGATGGAGATGTTACTGTTTATATGTTGTATTTCTGAAAAGGTTTTCCCAAGTAAATCTTTGGATTTGCTCCCTTCTCACCCACAGTTGCTGTATTTATAGGGTAAACTAGCGTCTGAAAAATAGAGTCTGTAGTATTCCATGTAGCCAGCAAGTCAGTATCAGGCAGCTTGCAGATTTGTTGACATTGGCAGAATTATGTGAATTATAATTACCCTTGAAGATTTTTTTCCTGTTAAGTACAAATAGTCTTTTGTTGTATAAACATGTTATATATGTATTTGTTATATGTTTTCAAAGGGGAGAAATGCAGGGGTGAATAGTGGAATAAAAATCCTTTCCTTTGCATTTCCTTGGCATAATGCAATCCTTTACAATTGCCCAGAAAATAAAGGAAAAGGTTCTGCCGATTTGGCCTTTCTTTCCAGACTTCACTCTCAAATGACCTAAATGACCTTACCAGATAAACTTCAATAGATATTAGCTGGAGCTGTGCATTAAAAGAGCCTGGCCAGTTGCTTGAGAAGTTTCTCATCAATAACTATTTCTAGCCATGTCAGCACATGAACTGACAGTGACTTCCTTGTTTTTCACTTTTGAATGGTATAGAATAACATATCCTTAACTTCAATTTCCCTTTTGCTTCATCTTCAAGCCAAAGATGATTTTTTTTTCTGTTAGAAAGTACAAAATACCATGATTTTTGTGAGTAGGAAACTGAAAAGGTTTCCACATACACTGAGATGGTGTTATTGCAGGAAGAAGTATCCTCATATTCAGATACAAACCATTGCTTGAGAAATTGAAATAGAGTTTGCAGTAGGTTTCAGATATTATGTCATTTGAGGTTAAAGAATTAATAACACTATTTTGTGATGTCCTCCAGTAACTACATCACCTGGCCCTCGCCGTCCTCCGGTACCCCCTGTCAGGCCCACGCAAATGCGAAGAAAGCCTCTGCCTCCAAACACAGTGACTGGTAAACCAGGGAGCCCAGGTATCTCGCCCTCTTCAATATACCTATGTTACACTGTAGGAGATGCTGAAATGTTTAGCTGTAAATGGGAAAATTTTGCTGTGTAGGTTCTTGAACCAAATGCAATCTCTGCAGAAGCTGATTTCTGGGACATACTTGCCTTATGTATTTCGTTCTTCATTCACAATTTCTGTTTTTCTTTTGTTTTCTCACCTGGTTATGTCAAAATCATGCCTGGAGGCAAAATAACAAAACGCAAGTCATGATGAGATTTCCTTTAAGATGGTCTACCTTAAGAACATTTCATGTCTACTAATAGAATTTGCCTTTTACTTTGTGCATGTGTCACATGGGAGCATCCAATATCATGCTTTAGCATAGACCCACAGCTCGTGAGGAGCTGTTGGTATTTTTTAAGGGAATTCTGTCCCATATGTATGGCGTATCCATTAACCATTGCAATAATTTGAGTTAATAACATCCAGAAGACAAACTGCGCTGTGAGGTAGAGTGACCTGAGCATGTGGAAAGAGCAGTTTAGCTTCATTAAAACACTAGAATGTTTCCGCTTCTTAAAATCAGGAAAAGAGTAACCCGAATCTTTCACATTTCTGACTTTATTTTCATATGATCTTGAAGCTAAAACTCAGTATCTTTACATCTGTTTTGTCTGCATATTAGGATCCCTAGGTTAGCATTGTTCCAGATAGTCAGGAAACATCATGTTTTTATGCTTAGTATCATGAGAGATACTCCTCTCTCCACATTAATTTCTGTAGACCACTGGGAATAGAAAGGTCTTGCCTCTGCTTTATTTCTTATACCCTTTTTTGGTTTGTTTCATTGGAGATTTGTGTGTTATTAAAGGAGGGAGTTTTACATATTTTCTGCATACTCTTGAGAGCAAAGACTGCCTTTCTGTTTGAGTGCTGCAAGAGAATTCAGCTCTTTCTATCATTTCATTCCTTGCTCATCTACAGAAAGCTCTTCCCTCTCTACTTCTGCAGATGTCCTTGTGAGGAAGCTTGTTCCTGTGACTAGTCTTTATGCTGACTATACCAAGACCCAAATAAATCTTCAGGATTCTGGGTAGCAGATCAGAAGCAGGAACCTCAAAGCTGCTGAAGCAAGCTGCCCATTTACTCAACAGCAGAGCCAAGATAGAAATGTTATGCCCATGCTTGCTGTTGACTGGCAGCACTTCCCTAGTAATAGCTATAGCAAAAATAACAGGCATGATGAGTCGTAAGGTGTGGCACACAACAAAAATTGACCTAATACATGTTCTTTTGCTTGTAATGGAGCCTATGCTAATATTCTCCATTAAGTCTCTAATTCATCTACCAGTGTTTTGAAATTTCATCTTTCTTTTTCCCACCCGCTAGAGATCAGTTTATGTGGTGATCTGCAGCTACCATACCTCTCCGGATATTCAAGATGGAATAAATTGGTTAGATGACCTGGTCCTTCCTTGTGGGGCCAGATGCAGATTTTCCTTAATCTGTATTTCCTAGTTTCTATCCAACTCAGTTTTAAACATCGTAATTGAGCTTCTACTAGTTCCCTGGAGAGACTCTTCCACAGACTTCACAGGAAAAAAATTGCCTCAGTGTTCTTCTTGGAATTTCTCTTTCATAAAATTTTGTCCTATTTCCCTTTCTCATTAACTCCATGAATAATTTCTTACTTGCATCTTTCTTACTCTTCCACTAGATGAGTATAATGGAAAGGTTTTTAAGCAGACAACAAAAGTATGAATGAAGAAAAAATAATAATAAAATAAAACCTGAGTTCTAAGATCTTTGTGACCATTGACTAAATTGAAAATCTTAATAAATTTTCACTTTGCCTCCTACCTTCCATTTTTGCTTTTGACCTAGTTCATCAGAGTTCTGGCTATTCAGTCACCATGTTCTTATGTATAATCCGTGCAGGGAAGATGACTAAATTATGTGTTTTCAACTTTGGGGGAGTGAGATTTAGTAATCATGCTATTTAGTAGTAGTTGATTGGGAATATCTTCAGATTTTGTGCATGTGATTCTGGTCTTCTACACCTGCTTTGAAACAGTCAAGATATCTTTTACCATGGATTGGGTATCTCTTGGAAACTTGTTTTCATTGCTAGTTGATAATAACTGATAAATAAAAATAATGTCATGTAATCTGAAATCTTTTTTGAATAGACATTTAATTATGGGAGAAAATGTTGCTTTTTACCATCAGTTTTGTCAAAACTAATGGTGCTTACTATAGAAGAGATCAGGCCTTTTTTCCTTTGAGGCCTGTAATATCATTAACACTGAAACTGTTGGACTTCATTGCATTTTTCTTAAGTTTGTTTGAAGTGCATCTAAAGTTGTTCAGTGGAAGTTCCAAAGACTCCAGCGATGTTGGAATTAAAGAACTAAAACTGTTAATGCAGATAATATTTAAGAACTCTGTGTTTTTTAATATCTATATTCCTCCTCTGGCCTTGTTAATATATATGTTGTATTGACTGTGGAAACAAAGGATCCTTAGCTGTATTTGAGTAGAAGAATGCAAGTTGCAGTTGTTGACCTAAGATCTTCTGCCATGCATTTTGTGAATGGATGTTTTCTGGTTATTAGTGTCCTTTCTGTAGGCTGCACAGGATGGTTCCCGTCCTTACAGAAAGGTCACATTCTGGCCGATCGAGGCCTTCAAAAAGAATCTCCAAGTAGCAAAGAACTTTCTTACCAGAAGGAAGAAATTTAGGCAATAAGGACAAATCCAACTGGAAACTGCTGTATATCTACCGATAAAACACCGTATTAGAAATGAAAATGCATGCTTTCCTCATTAATTCATGCCCCATGAAGTAGCTTTCAGAAATCTGAAAGCTGATTTTGATTTTCTGATAGAAAATCAAAAAGCTGTTTCACTATTTTAAAAAGTGAATGCCTTGTTGCCACAAGCTCCTCCTTCTCCTTTTACTATATAGCTAAACATGCTGGGCCAACAACATTTGTGAAGACAGGAGTACCATATAAGACACCAACAGCTTCTGCAACTCCAGATTATTATGGTGAGCATATTACAAATTTTTTTTTGTATTACATTTTCTTTTTTTTACATTTTGCTGTAGTTCCTTTTGCTTCTTTTTTTCTTTTTTCTTTTTTTTATCTTTTTTCTTTTCTTGCTTCTCTTCCCTAAACTGTATCAATGAACTGTGTATTTAATTAGTACAATTCTGATTTCCCCTAGCGAGAGTTTGCATCTTCAATAAATTGACAGAATTCCTCTGGTTGTCTTCTGATGAACATCTTTGTAAATGAGACTGTATGACTGACCCTTTCATCTTCCCTGAAACCAATATATGCTTAGCAGGCTTTCAATACTATTCCCTGGCTACTTTGAATCAGTGAGGCACGTAAGGGGCTTCCTTTCCTGAACATTTGATTTTGCATAGGACATAAATTATTAATTTATTTAATTATTACTTGACAGTCACTGGCAGTGCTCATTATGGTTTTGGTGTTGTATATAATCACTCAGCTACTTGACTGATCTGTCCATTATTTAGACAGAAAAAAATAGATGGAGTAACCACACGGTGGTCAGTTGGTAATTAGTCCCCTATAAAATTAAGAGTAAGCTACAAGTTAAGATCTAAATCCTCTCAAAGTGGCATACAAAGAAAGGGAAGGAGTGCTTTGAATTAATTTTTGAGCCAAAATATGCAGGTTTTGGTATATGGGCATAAATGATGCTGATGTTAATTTTGCTCAATTTATAGTAGTACTAGAGCTCTTATCTCTTCATAATGATTTGAATTTACTGTGACCCTTGCTGATCAATAAAGCTAGCTTTATTGAACTTCGACTGCTTTAGTGCATTTCTTTTCATCACTGTGTTTGCATTTGACTTCCTTCAGATTTTGTGAGCTGCATGGTCTGCAGAAGGAGATTGCCATAATAGTGTTATATATTTTCTGAGCATGAACCAAGCCCCAAACTAAACAGTCAGTGCAGTGCAAAAAGATTTTAAAAGGTCTAAGGTGCATTTTACATATATTGCATGAACTGAATCCAGCAGCAGTCAGAAACTGCCTCTTTTGATTTTGACTATCTTTATATTAGCAGGTAAGAGTTTACTTAGTACCACAGACAAAGTATGGTCTTTAAAAGGAAAAAAAAAACAAATTTGACTCTAAAAATCTACCAGAAAGGAGTTTTTTGGGTGATAATGTAAAATGCCAAACAAGTTGTGAGATGCTGCAGATCTAACACTAATAATCCACACTTGCTGTATATTGTATTGCAACTTTATCTCCCACAGTTGATGCAACTGTCTTCAGCTCAAGTCCTACATCAGAAACTGATTCTTCGGGCAAGCCAAGATACCAAGGTATGACTTTAATAGTTGCAGTGCTTGCACTTGGGGGAACATATGAAGACTGACCTGTCTTATATCAAAATTACATATCTTCTTTGGTTCTTCAAAGGCCAAAGCCTCATGCGATTCAATTCCATTGTAGTGTCAGACGGAAGGGCTATGATGTGAACTGTGAGCATATTCTTTTTATTTAAAGAATAATTTTACTTATATTTTCTTCTCTTTCCATCCCTGCTACCACTCCC